GCACCTCCAAAGCCAGGCGACTGAGACCGCGCGTCCTACCCGTCGGTACTTGAGAAGCGATGGTCAGCGAGTCGGAGACCGCGGGGCTCCCCTTACCCGCCAGCCTCCGAGGCCCACCGACCTTGGCTTCGGGGGAAATTCAAGCTCGCCAGAGTTAGCCTTGAAGACGCGCCACGCCCCCTCTCCAATCTGAGCGGGGCCGGGCGCCACGGTGGAAACAGCGCCCGCATCCTCGTGCCAAGCAGAAGCCGACTCTGAGCCTGGTCACTCGGACCTTCAGCGTTTAGGAGAACTCCAAGGCGGGCGGGGACGGCCGCGAAAAAGCGGATTTGAAACCAGGAATCAAGGCGGACGTGGGGAGCTGGCGCCGCTGGAGCGCCCGGGGCGGCGGCCCGGGGAGCCACGCGGCCGGGGGGAGCGCCCAGTGGTCATGGGCCTGCCGGCCATCGGGCGTCTGGGGGCCGGCTGAGCGCCCCGCCGAGCCCCGACCTCCCGGGGGCCTGGGCGAGAGTCAGCCCGCGGCCACGGCCGTCCGGCGCGGGGCTGTCCCCGGGGGCCCGGCCATGGCTGGCCGGGGTTGCGGCTGCAGCTGCGGCCCAGCCCACCTGAACGAGGACAACGCGCGCTTCCTGCTGCTCGCCGCGCTCATCGTGCTCTACCTGCTGGGCGGCGCCGCCGTCTTCTCCGCGCTGGAGCTGGCGCACGAGCGCCAGGCCAAGCAGCGCTGGGAGGAGCGCCTGGCCAACTTCAGCCGCCGCCACAACCTGAGCCGCGACGAGCTGCGCGGCTTCCTCCGCCACTACGAGGAGGCCACCGAGGCCGGCATCCGCGTGGACAACGCCCGCCCGCGCTGGGACTTCACCGGCGCCTTCTACTTCGTGGGCACCGTCGTGTCCACCATAGGTAAGTGGGCCGGGCGGAGGGGCGGCCGGATTCGCTGGCTTTCCTGGCTGGCTGCTTCTCAACCTTGCATACGTCCGTCTCTGCGCTCAGCCCGGCTGCACAGATGTGAGTTGTTACCTGATCAACAGGTGTTATTGCCTCCCTGCTTCTCGAAATGCGGTCCACGGACCAGCTGCCTCGGCACCACCTGGGAGCTCCTTATAAATGCAGTCTCAGCCCCTCCTCAGACCTCCTGAGTCACAATCTGCACGTCAACAAAGTCCCCAGGGGATTTGAATGATCCTTAAATAATTGGAGACGCTCTGCTCTGGGAGATTTTTCATCTAGTTAAGGAGAGAGCTTGTGTTCATTGAATTTTAGGGAGAAGGCTTACAAATCGGGACAGGAACCTATAAACATTCATTGAGTTAGTACCATGCACAAGGCACTGGTCGGGAGCGGGGGGGGGGGGGGGGGTGCAAGTTTAAAAAGACTGTGCCGGTTACTTCAAATTTGTAGAGAGAAAATCAGATTGAATACCAGATTGGAAGGAGGCAGAAGTGCTAATGAGGATAGAACTGTTTCCTACCAGGATGGGGGCCGGGGGAGAAGTGCCCTTTGGGCTGAACCAGTTGGTGTTAGGTAAGATTTGGGTTTGATGACTAAAAGTGCTTTGCACTCTGGAGGAGGAGAGAATTGCATTCAGGGGCGCCGTGAGCTACCTGATCTATGTGGTGTAGTGGAAGGAAGGCTAGGAAAGTCTTCTGGCTAACGGGGTGGCGAGGGACATTTACCGTCAGATTAAGGAGCTAGAATTTATCTAAAAGCAATTGGGAGCCATTGAGAGTTTTTGAGCAAGAGTGTGGCATGGCTGCTGTCAGTTATGCCTTTATTCCCAGCGGAAGGAAAGAGTTGGGAGTCTTTGCACCACATCCCTAAAGGTTGTTCATTCTTGAAGCATAATTGAGTGATAAGGGGGTTGGAGAAGATGCTGCAGAAATTCCGAGGTAAGCAGAGAACTGGAGTGAGGAGAGAGAGGCTATGCAGAAAGGAAGCGGCTCCCAGCTGCCAGAGCACCAGGAGCAGCAGCAAGGCTCACGGTGGCAAAGAGCACAGGGTGTGGCCCCTGTTCTTGCCAGCAGAGCTTGTCAATGAAGCAGGGCTACAAGGCAAACTTCCGTGAAGCTTCCACGCATGATTCTCTGAGGTAGACATTCAGCCAGAAGGAGCACAAGGCATAATAGGGATCAGCCTCAGGCCTGATTAGTCAAGAAAGACTTCCCCAGGTTAGTCTAGAAGTCAGGGCTCAGTTGGTGAGTAGGAGGCATGCCCCATCTGAGGGCCATTATGACACAGCAATAACTGGGCATCTGGCAAGAAAAACTAGCACAGCATTCTCCGTGATAACCAGAACGTGGGGCCCTGGCGGGGATGGAGAAGGAGTGATACCCTCCATGGTTCTCTCCCCCAGCCCACATTCTCTGCTGGACTCTCTCTTAGCACAATTCCTCAAGTCCCTCATCGTGTCACCTTCTGTGTCTCAGAAGACAGGTCCAGCGTTTCTCTGTAAGGAGGGCTTGGGGCGAACAAACTGATTGGGAAGCATTGCTTGAATCTGCTGTTTGCATAGAAAGTACAGAGTTTTTTGTTTTTTGGTGAGGAAGATTAGCCCTGAGCTAACATCTGTTGCCAATCCTCCTCTTTTTTGCTGAGGAAGATTGGCCCTGGGCCAAAACCCGTGCCCATCTTCCTCTACTCTATATGTGGGGCGCCTGCCACAGCATGGCTTGATAAGTCATACGTAGGTCCACGCCCGGGATCTGAACCTGCGAACCCCGGGGCACCCGGGATGCCAAAGCGGAGCATGCAAACTTAACTGCCACGCCATCGGGCTGGCCCCGAAAGTACAGCGTTTTTATTTAGGTTGAATATTTATTTGAGGTAGTTTTGGTGAGATATTGGGGGGCTAAATCCCCCTCCCACAAGCCACCCCTTGGCACTCCCCATGTACACGGAAGCAGGAAGGAGCACAGTGTGTCCATAGACGTGAACATCGATGCCGTGGGAGCTGAGAATGTCATGGGTGGGTGGGCGTGTGGGAACATAGGCTTTTGTAGTGCAAATATAGTAATGTAGCCCAGGGAATAGAAGGAAACCAGAACTGAGTCTGGAGTTGGAGCTATCGGTCCTACCTCTGTAACTTGGGCAAGTTTCTTAACTGTTCTGAGCCCCATCCTTCTCATCTGAGATGTCTGCAAAGTGCCCACCTTGGTATCTGGCACATCATAGCTGTTCAGTAAATCTTAGTCCTGTCTCCTGCCCACTCCCCTCCCCTAAGTCTGCCCCTCTTGCAGGGTTCTTGTGAGGAATAATGAGCTCATGTAAGTGAATGTTCTTTTAAAAAATGCAAAAACGATGTAAGTATGGGCTTATTTTTACTTTCTCACTTCTAACATTTGCTTTTAAATTGTTTCATTACTTGCTGTTGTAATAACGGCACCTGCTACCCTGTATTAGTGTACATGTTGGGCACATACTGTGATTAATATGTGAATATGTGATGCACCTAATTGCTACATGACATTCACACTTAATTGCAGTCGACACAACTCCATGAGGTAGGTGTGATTATCCCCATTATATAGATGAGGAGACTAAAGCTTCGTGTTCTTTGTAAAATAACGTATAAAGAAGAAAGAAGTTAAACCATCTATAAAGATAACACCCCAAGTTGACCATCGTTAACATTTTGGTGCATTTCTATTATTTTTTCCCTGTGCATACACATATGTGCATTTGTATTTTTTAAAATTGGGATCATATTCTAGAAACCATTTATGTCTTGTATTTTATTCGTAACATTAAATGATGGTGTTTTTCTTCTAAAAATTAGTTCCACCATGCTTTATTCTAAGACTTTGAGGTCACAAACAACAAGAAAGCATACAGTGAAATAATTATGAAATGTAAATAAAACTTCAGCACCAGAGAAAAGAAGAACAGAAATATGGAAAGCAAATGTATCTGGGAAGTTGCTAGAAGCAGACCTTGAGCCAAGAATTTGAGTGCAAACAGTTTACTGGCAAGGGATATAGGCAGGTGAAAAGGAAATAGGTCAATATAGGGTGTGCTATTAGGCAGGAACCACAGTGGGTAACTGGTTTAATCCCAAGGGGAAAGTTGAAAACAATGCAAAGCTCATGACCCAGAATTAGCCCATGCAAGGGAGCTGGGGTATTTATACACCCACACCTGTCAGTAATTGATTAAAGGCTGTTTGGAGGGTGGGAGAAGCACAAGGATATAATTCCCAGGTACTTCTGGCCTGATTTTCATGGACAACCCAAGGGTAGCCCTCTGACAAAGATATTGGTATTGGCCATTTGAAGATATAGGCATTCGTTGCCCTGAAATGGTAAGAGGGATCCCGAGGGTTGTGGGCAGGACATCAACAATGACTATTCAAGCTCCAGATTTGGTTGCAAGCACCGTAGCAGAGTCATGATCCATACTGGAATTCTTATGATCAGAAAAAATGAAGCATAAACCATTTTCCAGTACGTCATCCTCAAAAATATTTCCCCCTTGGGATTTTATATAGGAGACACTGCATAGGACCAGTGAATGATGTTCACGAACAACATTTTCCTGGAAAATGCAATTAAAGATTTCTTGTAACTGTTGTCTAGTTGAGACCTTTGATTTAAAAGTCAGAGCAGAGTGGAAAACAGTTTGGCAGTTTTCTCAAAAGGTTAAACATAGAACTACCATATGATCCAGCAATTCTACTCCTAGGGTATATATTCAGAAGAATTGAAAGCAGAGACTCAAACAGATATTTGTACACCAAAGTTCATTGTAGCGTTATTCACAATAGCAAAGTGGTGGAAACAACCTAAGTGTTCATCAACAGATGAATGGATAAACAAAATGTAGTACATACATACAACGGAATATTATTCAGTCATAAAAAGGAATGAAATTTTGATGTATACTACAACATGGATAGACCTTGAAAACATTATACTTAATGAAATAAGCCAGACACAGAAGGACAAATATTACGTAATTCCACTCATAGGAGGTACCTAGAATAGGCAAATTCCATAGTAATGGAAAGTAGAATAGAGGTTACCAGGGGCTGGGAGAAGAAGAGAAGGGAGAGTTATTGTTTAATGGGTGTGTAGTTTTGTTGAGGATGATAAAGTTCTGGGTATAGAGAGTGGTGATGGTTATATAACATTGAATACTATTATATGGTTATATAACACTTAATACCATGAATACATTTAAAACCATTGAATTGTATACTTATGGTTAAAATGATAAATATTGTGTATATTTTACTACAATTTAAAAAGTCAGAGCAGAATATTAAAACTTAGGGGTGTGGATTCTGGAAGAGGTTGATGATTAGGCTAGAAACAAGAATAAATTTGAAATACTCAGGGAAGTAGATTGACAGTATATCCTGTAAATGATCTTCTATAAATATCTTTTCTCTCAAATAGGCTTTTGCTAGGAATTTATTCCTATGTTTGCCTGTGTGTTTATAATTCAGCTTCCGTCCAAAAAGGATTTGAGGTATTTTAATATGATATGGTCAGGGCAAGCTTAGATTATGCCATGGTAAGAAGCTACCCCCAAATCTCAGCAGCTTAACACAACAAGAGTTACTTCTTACACACACACAGCCCACTGTGGGCAGGGACTCCCCAGGGCAGTTGTCTCCTGTGTTGGCTCAGTGTTCCAGGCTTCTTTTATCTTGTGGCCCCTCTTCATCAGCAGGCGTTCCGAGACTGCCCAGGACGGGGAGGAAAGGACTGAAGACTGGAGCACCAGCAATTAAACGGACACCACCATGCATGTCACCTCCGTGCACATTTTGTTGGGCAGATCAAGCCACATGGTCTCACCCAACCTCATGGACTTTGGGAAACACACTTCTCCCATGAGTCCAGAGGTGGATAAGACTCGATATTGGTGAACAGCACGGGTGTCTTTCACATATGCGTGCATACAGTGCACTAGAAATGGATACTAATGGATTTAAAACAATGGAGAGATGAGAAAACATGAGTAGGATAGGACAATTAAGCCACAGATTGCTAATACACAGAGATATATGTCAAAAGGACCTGTGTAATTGCCAAAAGTGAGCCCCAAATTTGGCTGAATTTTCAGTTGTCAAAATGAACACAAAAACAACCATGAAATGGTTCCCCTTATCCAGGCTGGCTGCTTGGAAGACACCCAGCTTTTACAGACGTGAATAAAAATTTCTCCTACAGATTGTCATGAAAGGGACAAGATAATGTGGTGAATAATCTTCTCTCCAGCATCTGAGTCATAAATAGGAAAGAGAACCGTGTGCTCCTGCGTGGCATAGCATCCCTCCATGCAAGGTGCAATTCAGTGAAATCCCCTCTGCCCAAGTCCAGAGCCATGCAGAGCAAGCATGCAGCTCCCATTGGTCTCGTCCAGGAAGGACATTTAGAATTCTCTACTGGCGGTTCCCAAGCTCTGGTGTCCATAAGAACTCACTGCAGGGGAGAGTAGTCTTGTTAAAATGCGGGTGCTTGGTCCCCCCTTTCAGAGATCTTAATGCAGTAGATCTGCATTTTAAGAAACTTCCCCAGATGGCTCTGATGTAGGCAGTACAGGGAGCACACTTGAGGCATGCGAGACAGGAGTTGGCATAGGGTTGAAAACTGAGACCACCCAACGAGGATCCTCACTGTTCAAAGAGTGGTCCACGAATCAGCAGTATCAGCATTACCTAGTAGCTTGTTAGAATGGCAGAGTCTTAGGCCAATCCCAGACCAAGTGAATCAGAATCTGCTCTTTAACGAAACACCCAGGTGAGTCACAGGCACGTTAAAGTTTGAGAAATCTGGAGTCTAGAAAGCTGTTGTGTTGTGATGTTGCTGACTAGGGCAAGCCTCCCCTCTCTGGGCTTTAGAACACAGACAAACTGGTGGCCAGGCTGGCATGGTGAGAAGGCGAGATGTGCTCATCTGTCTCCTTGGTGGACCTCCTCCCCAGGTGATAGTTAAGTACATGAGGAGTAGGTTAACCAAGACCAACATTATCCAGATGCAGGGATGCAACAGGCTCAGGCTGAGAAGGGGATCCTGGCTTGTGCAGATCTGAGAAGCTCAGACGCAGAGATGCTGAGCCCCTCCTTGGTGGTATACCACTCAAGTAGGTGACCAGATTTTCAATGACAGTTTCTTTAATTTTAATTAAACAGAAATAATTACACTGGCGCCTCTTGTTGGCCCCGGGTGTGGCTGGTGATTAGCACGTGGGTAGCAGTGTTCTGCAAGGCGCTCTGGTTCAGGAGCTGAGCTGACAGGTATGTATGGCCTGGTCAATGTGCAAATCTGTGTGGCCCTGAACTGAATATGTTTTCAGAATCTGTTTTTTCCCCCGTGGGCACAGGCCCCACTACTCCCTAATGTCCCACATGCCAAGTTACACTCATTTTCATTCATGGTCTGACTCCTGGGTTCACTGACCACAGGGTTTCCCTTCCAAGGAGATAAAATCAATAGAAGAGATACCAGGGGTTGATCAGAGAATGGGAACAATAAACCCTGAACACTTTTTGAGGCTTCTAACAATGGCTCTCTGGCCAAAGGAAGACGCAGAGGGCGTGCTCAAGATGCAGCATTTCAGAAAAGTGGTATAACGTCTGGCAGGTCAGATAAACTGAACTGAAGGAGGCAGAAGGCTGGAGAGAGAAGGAGGAGCAACGTGATGATGGAGATGCCTCCTCACGCGGTGCGTTTCCCCGCTGTCCTCAGCAGGACCACGTGCTCTGGGTCTGGACACAGTAACGTCCTTCTCTACAGGCTGAGTGTTCCCCACATAAAAAGTCATTAATGCACTGGTAATAATAATCATCCCCTGCTCTTCTCTCCTTCACCCTAAGAGGAAAGGATTGCTGCTTGCTGGGTCTGCTCCCCAGGCTATCCTTAACTGTGGAGAATCCAGATAATAGGCTGAACGAGAGAAAGCTAAAAGAAGGTGGAGAGGTTAAGTCACTCATGATGACAGAGAGTAGAGAGAGATGGGGGGGAGGGGACCAGGAAGGACAGAAAGACTGAGAAGGCTGATGACTGGGGACGGTTTTAGGGATAAAAGCCTCCAGAACTCCTTTGAGATATGAGAGACTGGGAGAGGAGAAGAGAGGGAACTTTCCTTTGTGTTATAAATTGGAGACTCCTTAAGATTCTTTATAGATATGCAAGCAAAAATTAAATTTATTTTTTCGTTATTTTGGGCTAATGGACCATGCTTTTTTGAATGGAACACTACCCTGAGAACCTCCAAGGAACCCAAGAATTACTTGGGTTACGTTCATAGCAAACCCCTCTCCCCTTCATAGAGAAAGGGATGGAGGAGAAGAGAGAACAGGGTGGAACTGAGGATAAAACAAGAGGAAATCACCATGTTTCATAATACAAAAAAGAATTTTCAGTGAAACCGGCTGAGATCAACACATATGTGTGCTACAATGCTGGACAGTGGAGAGTGAGCAGTACATCTTCCAATATGACTCTACTTTCAAGATACTGAAATTTTCCAAGCAGGAAACAAATAATTGAGCAAATACAGGGTTCTCAGAATGGATAGTCTGAAAGCTTCCCCATGAAATTTGAGACGATAGATCCCAAGGAGGTGGCCCTCTCCCCCACCTGAGTGAATGCAAATTCCCACCAGCCACTCTTTCTGCCCCCTCCTTCCCCATCACCATGCATTGCTCCCTAGCTATAATCTTCAAATGCACCCATCATTGTTCACATGAAAAAATATGTTAAAGTGCTTTAAAAACTACGGCTATGACTGCAAGTGTAGAGTTGAAAAAATACTGAACAAAAACTCGCATTCCTAGAAGATCTGGATGGGAAGATATTTTCTGAGCACAAAGACAATGGAAGAAACCACAAGGAAAGACTGAAATGTGAAACTGCACAGCAATTTAAAAAGTTTCTATATCTAAATAATAAACATGGAACAGAAAACAATAAAGGATCAAAAGTATGATGCAAACATGATGAAGGGCTAAAATCCTTAAAGTCTAAAGCACACGTATACAGTGATTAACAACATCCCCTGGCTCCTGATAGAAAAATGGGGGAAGGATTAGCTAGTTGATTCAGAAAAGATAAACTACAGTTATTTTTAATAAATATATAAAATTAATCAACTTGACTATAAATCACAGAAATTCTAATTATAATGAGATTCATTTTTACCAAACTACAACAAATTGCTCCTTGTAATGGTTATGTGGAAAACAATCAGATACAAAATATGATATATTTCAGTGATTTTAAGATGTACCTTTTCTCAGCATTTTAACATCCTTGAAATTGGGATGATCTCACAATTGCTAGCAGAATTTAATTGGCAGTATTCTTTTCTTTCTTGTTGGTACATAAAATAACAATACATCTTAGATTCAATAAAAGATCACTTTAGGTTCAATATGGTATGATACACCAAAATATTAACAATGATTCTTGTTGGATGGTGGAATCATGGGTGATTTCTACTTTCTTTTTTATGCTTTCCCATATATTTCCAGTCTTCTAAAATGAGTATGTATTTCTTTTATCATCAGACAGTAAACAAAACCTCGTTCTAATCCTGACTGCCTCTTCATAGCTGTGTGGTCCTAAGTGAGATATTTATGCTCTCTGTACCTCAGTTTTTTTATCTGCAAAATGGAATAACTTCTGTCTACCTCATAAGTTGTACACAAATGCTTTGTAAAATGTAAAATGCTTATGCCATTTATATCTTGACACACATATGACGTCCACTAATGTATGCCATTGAATAATGTATTCATGGGATATTTTAATTTTTTCTGAAAGCCTTTTCATCATCTTGGATGTCAGTTTATAGCTTTATACAATAAAACAGTGATTCCCAATATTTTATTGTTTGAATCTGATATAATTTGATTCAAAATCTCTTTCCTCAGCCTTGTTTCCGCCCTGGAGAGAGCAGCCCCACCACAGGCATTCGGATTCTAATTGTAAAACATTGTCCAGGCCAGACAGGTCTGATGACGGCCTAACTCAAGAGTTTGAGTCCCCCAGTTAGAGCTTTGATCATCTGTGAGCTCTGGGCTTCCTTCTCTTTGGGAGCAAGAAGGTCAAAAAGTTCTTAACTCTTCCTGATTAGTAGCAGCATCTTGACTTTTTCAGTTTGCTTAAGTACCTGTTTGTATAGGATGCTTGATCATCACAGAGGGTCAACCTAGCATATCGGCTGTTTCATTGTGAACCCACCAATTTCTAAAAGAAGCGAGGGACAGTTATATTCTCTCAACTCGTCTGATTCTCATGTCTACACCTAGGTGTTGTAATCCATAGTACATACTATTCTGTCCTTTTCTCTTCTTTTACATTATTTCCTATACACTTGGTCAAGAATTTCATGTGTTCCTATAAATGTAGAATAGTTTATCTTCAAACCGTTGGATTTGGGGGTTATGTGTGATTTTTTTTACTCGTGTGTAATAAAATTTATGAAATTTATTGAGTGCCTACCGTGGGTTGGACACAGCACACATCTTTACATATGTTTAATTCTTATAACAACCGCATGAGGGTAGGTACTGTTAATATTCTCATGTTACGGGCCAGGATCCTGAGGCCTGGAGAGCTTCTATGCAGTGTCTGAAGTTACCCGGCTGGTAGTGGCATGGAGCCTCGCCTCAAAGCTTACACTTTGAACCACCACTCCTTGGCCATTTCTTCCTTTGAGATCCTTGTTGTGGGAAGAATGACCAGCTAAAGAGACCATGACCTCTTTTTACAGTTGTGGTGGTCTTTAGGTGGCCTGGGATAATGTAAGAAGACAGAGATGGTCTGGTTAGCAGAATCTCAGGAGACATTTGTGATACTGTAATGTCTACAGTTTCATGGGTAAAATGGTCTGGGTAGTGTTCTGCCTACCTCCCAGAAGTCCATGTAACTGGAGATTTATATCTCCTGTTGCAATATTTCACAGTCCTCTTAAAGTTGCAACCTTCCTCTCATCACCATGACAACTAATGTGCCTGCCCCAGGACTTTCATCTCCAATTCGGACATATTTGATCCCACAAGTCACTTCCTGACTCTGCCTGTGGGCTCTTGGCATGTTGGCACCAAGGTTGTCTGTGTCTTGGGTCTTCTCTTGTATTAAGCATCTGATGAGGATCACAAGGCATTGATCTTACAGAGCAACCAGGGCAGTCGTTTTCAAACTGTGCTCCAAGTAGCCCATGGGGTTCTCTGTGGTACTTTAAGGGCTGCCTTGAGGGCCGAGGGGACCCCTCAAGTTCTTATCTCTGTTATATATATTTATTTATATATGTCCAAAATATTTATCCTATCCTGCCACCTTTTTATTGACTATTAAATTTTTTGGTGGGTAGAAATGATTTTTATATAGCCAAATACACTCATTTGACTGGCAATTTTTTCTTACGGTCTTTCATAAATTCCAGTCCCCGCCATGGTTGAGAGAAATATTCTCATCCATTCTTTGTTTAACTCTAACTCATCTCAAATGTTCTTCAAAAAGTCTGCTTTTTAAATAGTTTTGTGTGGTTGGCTATATAATTATGCTTTGATTTATTTCTAAAATTATCACATAATGATTTGAGAATGTGCATTTTCCAGAATTCTCTTTTTTATTTGAGTGTTTCTGTGTATCTTGGTATCTGTATATATTTCAGCTGGGTTACAGAGTTTTGGAACAGGAAAGAACATCATTCCCAACCACCCTTCAAACCTAATAAACACACCCAAAATAAGATTTTGGTTGTGTGTTTTGGGCCATATAAATTCAGTGTTACTGATTTCATCACTTGCATAACTTTTATTATTATTTTGTTGATAATACCTTTGTTTACCTCTTAATGCTTTATATGCAAACATCTATCATTAAATTTAGATATGATTAAATTCCTATATTAGCAGATATTTGCTGACTTTTAGACCATCTCTCTAGTTGTAATTTTTAGTAATTTAAGTAAACCACTTAATACATTTTGTATTTTTATTTTTTTAACCAGTTTTAGACTTTTCTCTTTGTAAAGGAATTTGGCACATTTAATATTTGGTCTCATTTGTATTATCCTTTTTTGTTCTTTATCTCTCTTACTTTCTATTTTCTTTTCAATTCTATACCTTCTATTACAGTGGATTAGGTATCCTTTTTGTCATTTTAAGTGTGATCAGAATGAAATCTTATCTAAATTTCCTGGGGATAAAAAACAATTTCTGCCACAATTTTTTATGTTTATGAATAAAATTGCGACTCCTTTCTCTGGATGATACAGAGTGTTGTGTCCTTGGGTTCAGCCCTGTTCCGTCCAACGCCTCTGCCTCCCAGGTCCTTATTGTATCTTGTTCTCTGAAAACGCTTTTTAAAATCATATTTTGCATCTAGAACCTTCCTTGTATCATCACGTCTGATAACTGAGAGCATATCACCTCCATGACCTTTTTCTCTTTTGTGATCTGTAGCGCTTCTCTTTTGGTATCTTCCTCCATTTCAGTTCCATTCTCTCTTCTCCTGCCTCTGGACATTGAGGCTCTGCTTGATCATTCACTGAACGCCGTTGCATTTTCTCAAGCCTTGCTTCTGCTTTCCAACAAAAAGTAAAGGCAAGATAATGAAACTTCAAGAGAATTACTTTCCTACGTGGTCTGAAAATAATGCCGCATTTAACACTGAGTGGGGAGGGAGGAAAAAGGGAAACAATCCCGTTTCTTACCTGCTTCTGTGCTTTGTGCTCCGTGCTTCTCTTATTCCTAATTCTGCAACCCCTTTTCTTAGCACCACTTCAGTCTTGAGGTTGTATTGCTCCTTTCTGTTGCCTGTACTACTGTTTCTTTGTCTCAGTAATTAAAAAGGAAAAGAAAATGACAGATATATCAACTGCAGATTGCATTGAGCTGTGTGTAGCAGAAAACCTCAATAACAATGGCTTAAACACAGAGAAGTTTACTTTTCTCATGTAACAAGCAGTTCAGAGGTCTGCAGTCCGGGCTGGTGTGGTAGTCCCGCGAGACGCCCACGTGCCACCACATCCCAGCACTTTCTGTCTTTCTGCTCTGGCTGGCTTAGATGGTGGCTCTCCCTTGTGCTTACAAAACAGCTCCAGGCTTTGTGACCGCCACCAAGGCAAGAAGACAGGGAAGAGAAGAGGCAAAATGTGTGTACCAGCTGAGTTGGACCCTTGAAAAGAGCTTTCTTGGAAGCCTCAACTTCCACTTATATCTCAGTGGCCAGAACCATGTCCGATTGCCCTCCCCACCATCTGCATGGAAGCTATCACTGCCGCGAACAAAATTAAGGCTCCTTTATTGGGGCAGAAGAGAAGGACAGTGTTGTGCAGCAACAATATTGTGTAGGCAGCTAATGGTATAGCTCCTGAAAAAATATTGTCGGGGTGTCTTTCCTTCTAAGATTATTTTGGAAGAGACTCTATGAGCAGTTAATGTCTTGATCAAAGTTTTTTCAGTCCTGGGACTTATTCTTCAAGTGTTTTCTTAATGGGAGTTTAGACAATCCTTGCTGTTTTGTTTATCTTGGCACCCTATTATTCTCAAGTTGGATATTCCTGTTTTTTAAAGTCCACCAGGTGCTTCTGCTTTGTTTTCATGTATTTGCTTAATTCCATATTTTGGATTTGATTCTCCATTTATCGTCCAGGTCTCTAATTTTTTCTCCATTGTCTGGTAACTGTCTGCTGATTTTAACCACGTTGTTAGTTATGCTTACAGTGTTAACCATGCCTACTACATTTCAAGCACTGGTCTAAATATTGGAAATTCTTTTTTGCTATTGTCCTGTGTCTTTATTACCATCAACAGTTCTTGATTTATAGTTCTTATCTCTCTTAGATTTTCTTCATTCAGTCTTGCTCATTTGTGGGGTTCCTGGCTATGTCCTGTAAGTCACTCCCATTCCCAGCAGAATCTTTCTTTGGAACTTAAAACTTAAAAACTGAATTTATGCTGCATTTAGCATTTTTCTCACTAAGGCCTGTTTTATTCGTTCTGGCTGTGATATTTTCTGTTCCAGATGTTATATTTTTGGTATTTGGTATGGAGGCATGCTATATATACTATTTCTCAACCTAGTATATTTTTAGATTTAGTTTCTTTTATTTAATAGCTTGTGACCCAATACCAACACCTATAAAAAGAAATGTGTGAGAGGCAGGCTTTGACCACATAGGGATATTCATGTGTTTAGTACTCAGCAAAGCCTGGGTCCATTTCTTGGAATGATGGATGAAGACTGAATTCTGGGAGTTTATAACTTAAAGCAACAACCAGGGCTCCTTCAATTAATTAAGACAAATTTCTTGGAGGACATGGGGTCTAGGGGCTGTTTGGGAAGAGTTGATGGCCTGCTCATTGTCTCAACAATCCTTCGAGTTAGGGAAAGTAAGGCTCAGAGAGAGTTAGTAACTTTCCCAAGTACACACAGCTGGTAAGTAAGGGAGTATATCAGTTAGGAATTTTGTTTAGCTTCAAGTTACAAAGACCCCAAAAGCAGTGGTTTAAGCACACAAGGTTTTACTCTATCCCAGAAAAGAGGTCTGCACCATATGCGGGCAGTTCAGGGCTGGTATGGTGACTACACAACAGGGAGTCAGGCCTCTTCAGCTCTGCAATCCCTAGGGTGTTGTCCTGGTCCTCAGGGGTCAACATGGCTGCTGGAGCTCTGGCCATCACATCCACACTATAGGTAGTAGGAGAGAGGAAGGGTGTGTCCTTTCCCTTTCAAGGAGATGTCTTAGGTCAGTTTCTCTAACAAGCAGACTCTTGGGCTAAGGATTTGGGAGGAAGTGATTTATCAAGGAGGTGCTCCCAGAAGAGACTAGTAAGGGAGTGAGGAAAGTGTGGATGGGAAAAGGGAAGAAGCCAAGTAGGGGGTTATTTTATGTTGCTCTGAAGCAGAAATTACACCTTGGAATTTGTCCCGCCTTGAGGCAAAGGTACCGGGATTTTATATTCCCACACCAGTCAGTCATTGGCTATGGCTGGGGGAGGAAGGGACCTAAAACTCCCAGGCACTTGGCTGTCTGCGTTACCAAGTGTAAGCTGTTCACAGCAAAGCCTGCAGCAGGTGGGGGATGGACACACAGAGCTGGTCACCAGGTTTAAAATGATGTGGGTGTGGCACAGTGTCCACTACAGGGGGCTTCCCAGACGTTCCAGATGTTACTTCTTCTGTTTCATTGACCAGAACTTCATCATATGATCATACCCAGCTGCAGGACTGCCTGGGAAATGAAGTCTTATTCTGGGTATTAAAATGTCAGAGAACAATTACTAAGGAATAGAGAGAGAAGAATGTGAAGGCATCCAGCAGTGCCTACCACAGGAGTGTGATGGATGAAGGAGTCACGAAGAGCCTCGACTGTCAGGCCGCAGGGTGGGAACTCCGCACAGGGAGGCTGGCACGCTGTCAGAGACTGGTAAAGAATTGCATGAGAAAAAGTGCAATTTCAGGGAGATTAACCTGGCAGAAGTGTAGCAGACCCCTGGGAGGCAAAATCGCCCTCGGTTGAGAACAATGTTCAGTTGTTTTTGTTAGTGCCCTAAAAGGGACAACAGGACCGAGAATCAAAACAAAGGACTGCCTCTGTGGTTCCCTTCTTTCCACTGCCTTTCAGGAGTGGGCGCTGTGAGGGGCACTCTGCTGGGACCGCAGAGATGAATGAGCCAGGTGCACACTCTAGAGAGTGAAAGTACAGATGATTTCCCATTAATTGAGGACTTCCAGGCCAAAGACAAGCTTTGAGTATTTGCCCCTCTCCACACCACCCCCCTACCTTCAACTTGAATTATTAACTGCAAGGTGGCTTTTTTCATTTCTTTTTAAAAATATTTTTCAAGTTGCTAAAGTAATACTTGCACATTCGAATAAATTTTCAAATCATTCCAAAGTGTTTAAAATGAAAAATCAAAGTCTCCCTTTACTTCCCCCTCCTACTCCCTGAGGGTGACCACTGCTTTTTCACTTACTGGTGGTTCTTTTTTATTTTTTTTTTTTGGTAACAGCTTTATTGATCTATAATTCACATATCATAAAATTCACCTATTTAAAGTGTACAACTCAATGGTTTTTAGTGTATTCACAAGAGTTTTGCAACCATCATCACAATAATTTTAGAACATTTCATCATCCCCAAAAGAAACCCCATACCCTTTACCAATCATCCCCATCCCCTCCAGCCCTAGGCAACCACTAATTTACCTCTGTCTCTAGAGCTTTGCCTATTCTGGACATTTCATATAAATGGAATCATATAATATGTGGCCTTTGTTCCTGGCTTCTTTCACTTAGCAGAATGTTTTCGAATCATCCATGTTGTGATATATATATCAATATTTCACTCCTTTGTATTGCTAAATAATATTCTATAGTCATACGTCACATAACCACCTGTCAGTCATCAATGGACTGCATATACGATGGTGGTTCCCATTAGTACCATGTAGCCTAGGTGTTTGGTAGGCTATATCATCTAGGTTTGCATAAGCACTATCAGTGATGTTCACACAACGAAAAATTGCCTAACAATGCATTTCTTAGACTGTATCCCCATCATTAAGAGGTGTACAACTATATTATATCGATGTACCACATTTTATCTATTAGTTAATCAGTTGGTGGACATTTGGGTTGTTTTCGCTTTTTAGCTATTATGAATAATGCTTTACGATGTTGAATAAATGTACACGTTTTTGTGTGGACATGTTTTCATTTATCTTGGGTATATACTTAGGTTTGGAATTGCTGTGTCATATAGAAACTCTATTCTTAATCTTTGGATGAACTGCCAGACTATTTTCCAGAGTGGCTGTGCTATGTTATATTCCCACCATTGGTGTATGAGTGTTCTAATTTCTGAATATCCTTGAAAACACTTTTATTATCTGTCTCTTTGATTCTGTCCATCGTAGTGGATGTGAAGTGATATCTTATTGTGGTTTTGATTTGCATTTCTCCAATGACAAATGATGTTGAGCATCTTTTCAGGTGTTTATTGGCAATTTGTATACTTTCTTGAAAGAAATGTCTATTCAAATCCTTTACTCATTTTTAGTTGGCTTGTCTTTTTATTATTGAGTTATAAGTGTTCTTTATATATTCTAGATTCAAGTCCTTCATCAGATATATGATTTGAAAATATTTTCTCCCATTCCATGGGTTGTCTTTTCACTTTCTTCACGGTGTCCTTTGAATCACAAAAGTTTTTAACTTTGATGAAGTCCAACTTATCTATTTTTTCTTTTGTTCCTTATTCTTTTAGTGTCATATCTAAGAAACCATTGCCTAATCCAAGGTCATGAAGATTCAAACCTATGTTTTCTTTTAAGAGTTTTCTCCTTACATTCAGGTTATTAATCCATTTTGAGTTAATTTTTGTATATAGTGTGAGATATGGGTCCAACTTAATTCTTTTGCACGTGCATATCTGGTTCCATTTGTTGAAAAGACTATTTTTCCCCTATTGAGTTGTTTTGACACCCTTGTCAAAAATCTGTTGACCATAAATGTAAGGGTTGATTTCTGAACTCTCAATTCTATTCCATTGATCTATATGTCTATCCTTATGCCAGTAACACACTGTCTTGATTACTATAGCTTTATAGTAAATTTTGAAATAAAGAAGTATAAGTCCTTCAGCATTGTTCTTCTTTTTCAGGGTTGTTTGGCTGTTATGGGTCCCATGAACTTCCATGTGAATTTTAAGATCAGCTTGTCAGTTTCTACAAAGAAGCTTTGTGTTGAATCTGTAGATCCATTTGGGGAATATTGCCATCTTGAAAATATTAAGTGTTCCAGTCCATGAACATAGGATACCTTTCCCTTTATTTAGATCCTTTAATTTCTTTAAACAATGTTTTGTGGTTTTCAAAGTATAAGTTTTGCACTTCTTTTGTTAAATTTATTCCTAAGTACTTTATTCTTTTTAGAGCTATTGTAAATTAAATTATTTTATTAATTTTATTTTATATTGTTTATTGAAGTGTATAGAATACAATTGATTTCGTGTATTGATCTTGCATGCTGCGACCTTGCTGCACTCATGTATTAATTCTAATCGTTTTTTAGTGGACTCCTTAGGATTTTTTGTATACAAAAATCGTATCATCTATGACTAGAGATAGCTTTAATTCTTCCTTTCCAATCTGGATGCGCTTTATTTCTTTTATTTCATGCCTGTCTAGAACCTCCAGTACAATGTTGAATAGAAGTGGTGAGAGTGGACATTCTTGCCTTATTCCTGATCTTAGGGGGAAAGTTTCAGTCTTTCACCATTAAGTATGATATTAGTTCTGGTTTGTTTATTTTAGTAGACGGCCTTTATCAGGTTGAGGAAGTTCCCTTCTATTCCTAGTTTCTTGAGTGTTTTTTATCACAAAGGGATGTCAGATTTTGGCAAATTCTTTTTCTGCATCTATTGAGATGATGTGGTTTTATCCTTTCTCCTATTGATACAGTGTATTGCATTAATTAATTTTTAGATATTAAACCAACCTTGGATTGCTGGGATAAATCTCACTTGGTCATGGTATATAATCTTTTCATATGTTGTTGCATTTGGTTTGCTAGTATTTTGTCAAGGATTTTTGCACCTATATGCAAAAGAAAATTCATCTATTTTTTTCCTTTTTTTGTGATATCTTTGTCTTGTTTGGTATCAGGATAATATTGGCCTACAGAATGAGTTGGGAAGTGTTTACCTATGGTTCTCATATATATCTTTCTGAGGTTGCCCAGGATATGCCACAATGGTATAGATGTTCAATAATTTAACTGTTCCTCTTATTGTAGGATATGTAGGTTGTTTCTAATTATTGCTAGTAAAACAGCTCTATAAAGCATATTTTAAATTTTAATATTTAAACTTTTAATTGTAAATATGTATAGGTCTTGCCAAATTTTTGAGAACTTTAAAATTGAAATATTCTCTTAACCAATTTGTGAGACTCTTGTTAGTCTCACAGCTAACATGTACTGTATTCTTCTGCCTCTTTGGTACTATACTAAATGCTCTAGATACATAATCTTTCATCCATTGAAGTAGGACTATTATTTTCCTCATTCTATGAGTGAGAAAACTGAAGCACAGAGGGGTAAATAGCTTGCCCAAAGGCACACAGCTAGGGAGTGGTGGAACTTTGATTCAAACTTTGTTCGGCCATGATTTAAATTTTGGAAAGAAAGCTAGCCTCTGAGAGAGTAAACATTCTAGTGAAAATTGAAATAAAATCTATGGCCCTGGGTCTGTGTTTATTTTTGCCATCAATGAATTTGTTTTTGATGTTACTGCTGAATATTTTTTGCAAGCTATTGTTTTGAAGAAAGTGGGCTGCCAGGATGTATAATAAAGAAGACATCTAGATGTCCCAAACTGGGTTTGAACAATGTCATCTCTCCTCTCTTATCTCCACAGAACCATACCCAGCACCCATCCATATGAAAATTATGGATTACTTCAAAATTATACAACTACTTCAAAATTATGGTGGTTATTAGACCCGTCCTCATTATTTAATGATTTAATAAAGAAGCACATAGACTATATCACATTGGTTTCATAGTTTAATAACTATGTTTTAATATGGTTGCTTTTGTGATCCAATGCATTTTATTTCATTAATTTAGAAACACATTCTGTGGAGAGGCTCATAGGCTTCCCCAGACTACCAATGGCTCCATGTAACAGGAAACAGGAATTGAGAACCCGAACAAGGTGAGGCTGATTCTGAATGAGGAGGAAAATGGAGGCCACACCCGCTGTTCTGGCTGCTCCTGTGTGGTTAGCGAAGGGCATCAATCCACTTATAGTTGCGTGAAAATTGACTTGAAACACTCTTGTTGCTCAATCACTAAGTGTAATTTCATCTTTTGATGATTCAGAAGACATTTCAGGGTGTTGCTGTGTCTTGAGGGTCATCGTTGGGAGGGTAAATTACCACACTCCCTCTGAGCAGTGGGGAAGATGC